AAAGAAAGAAAGAAAGAAAGAAAGAAAGAAAGAAAGAAAGAAAGAAAGAAAGAAAGAAAGAAAGAAAGGAAGGAAGGAAGGAAAGAAGGAAGGAAGGAAAGAAGGAAGGAAAGAAGGAAGAAAGGAAGGAAGATAAATAAATAAAATTAAATTAAATAAGTTAATTAAGCACAAGCAGTAGGGATGGGGCAAAGGCAATGCTCTTGGAAGCTGGCATTTCTCAGCTCATGAGAAGGGATGTGGCTGCCAGAGAACACAGCTTCTTGCCATGGGCCTGGAGCCTGACACTTGGAGAACCTGACCACTTAGGTTTAAGAGCAGTCAGAGGAGAGCACAGAGGAAGAAACAGGGCCGAGAGTGGCTGGGGTGACAAATGGGGGCTCCATGCAGGTGTGGTGTCTGGGGTCGACAGAGCAGGGGAGCACCAGCCAGGCAGCCAAGGTTTGGCTCAGATGCTCTCCAGGCATGCTCCGCTGCTGTGAAGACATGCAGTCCCCACAGGACCCTGTGGATATGAGCACCTTTCCCAAATGCATGATCCTCCATGCCTGATTACAAAAGAAGCCCATTGCCAGACTTGACCTCACGGTGATGCAGCCTCAGCTCTTGTTGGGAGCTCAGCACCAGCAAATGCCTCCCTCTCCCCTGCTCCCTGACGCACCTCTGCAGCCTTGGTGACACCCATGGTATATTAGAGACCATGCCCGCCCCTCTGCCTCTGGAAAGAACGCAATACCTACCGTGAGCCGGTGGTCGGTCCCCAGCATGTACTTCTGCTCCTTCCCAGGCAAGTCCCTGTTGATGTGGCCCACCACAAAGAGCGAGGCGGGGAGGCGAATGGACGGGCTTGCCAGGACGCTTCCCCACAGGGCGGTATAGAACACTTCCCGGCCCACCACCAGGGACAGTCTCAGGAGCAGGGCATCTGTCCTGTAAACAAGACATGAAAGCATTTAGGGGTTCATCCCATCTTCTAGATCACCACGAACAGACTTGTCCCGGTGGGGAGGCCCCTCCTTCTCCTGTTCTGAGCTGCTGCCCTCTCTGGCCCTTCGGTGTTCCCCCCATCAGCTGTCATACTGAATGGAAATTTGCTAAGACAAACATATCACTGAGAGGCACAGTGCCCCAGCCAACAGGAAACTCTGCTCAGCCGTGTCGCCATGGCTCAGGGATTGCCTCCACCCCCAGGCTTGGCCTGGATGTAGAAGGGAGCAGATCAACGGCTTTATAGCGAAAGGGCAAGGTGTCCTCCAGAAAACACAACAAAATGCTGATGGGGCAAACCAAAGGCTTACAACTACAGAGATGTCCCTGTGCAAACAGCCAGATATCTGCCGGGTGGCACTCACTTCAGAACACCAGCCAGCTCGGCCAGCCTGCAAATTCCACACATCTGGGCACAGTGTTTCCCTTCCACCTGCCCTCAGCACCTGCACCTGCTGACCTCTGCTCTGAGAAGCTCCTGTGCCGGGGCCCGCAGCTCTGCAGCTATCTCGGCCTACCTAGCTCTCCCGTGACACACAGTCAGCGCCTTCTGTGAGCAGCTCAGGACTAAGGCCGGGCTCTGCTGTGTGCAGTGGCAGGGCTGTACTTGAGAGGCGCCTCCCTGTCAGCACTAAAAGCCACCTGCGGGCTGGTGGTGACAGATGTCCAGTGACCCAGCGGAGGCACCTGTCCCCCTTGCCTGAGTGCTCAGACTCATACTCTGCAAGGATTCCATTTCTTTTTTCTTTTGTTTTTCTTAAAATACTTATTGTTGCCAGGGACTGGTCTCACACCTGTTACCCTAGCTACTCAGGAGGCTGAGATCTGTAGATCACAGTTCAAAGCCAGCCTGGGTGGGAAAGTCTGTAATACTCTTATCTCGACCTGAAAACCGGAAGTGGCACTGTGGCTTAAAGTGGTAGAGCACTCGCTTTGAGCTGAAGAGTTCAGACCCAGAGTGCCCAGACCCAGAGTTCAAGCCTACAACCGACCAAAAAAAAAAAAAATTGTTATTGTAAAAGTGATGAACGGAGTGGGTACAGTGACTTGAGTCACGGATAAAGAGTACATTTCTTTTTGGACAATGTCACCCCTTTGCTCACTCTCTCCCAGTTAAGGATTCCAACTTGCAAAGAAGACAGAAGACAATGTGTGCTGGGGCAGCTCACCTGTGTTTTCAGAGTCAGCCCTTCAGGGTCCAGGTAGTGGGACCCAGGACAAGTCTGTCATGACCCAGGGCCATTTGTCAGACAATGTGGACAGTACATACTAGAGATCTGCATCACAGTCTCCCTCCCTAGCCAGGACGCTTCTGTGGGTAAAGCATGCCATCTCAGGGGTCCCAGGGCAAGGCTCCTGGGAGAAGACGCTACCTCAAGTAGGGCCCACAGGCATGGGAAGCAGCTCTCTTGTTAAAAGCCCGTGTCTTGGCTTCTTTCTATTTCTATCTTATATATAAAAGTGGCCGCAGGACTAGACATCTGCCTACCTGTCATAGATTTCGGAGCCTTCCTCCAGACCAGGGAGCAGGCCCACGAGAAAAGCCTGGAGACTGGGTAGAAGCAGCTTCTGCAGTGGGAGGAAGTACTTCTCATATAGGCCCAGCAGCACTGGACGCACAGACATGGCTGCGTTTGCCAAGAGGGGAAAGAGGCCACAGCTATAGAAAGAAAAGCAGGACAGTGGTTAGAAGTTGCAGGTGATCAGAAGGAAGAGCTCTTTTTTATTTTTATTTTTTTTTTGGGGGGGTCGGTCTTAGGAGGGACAGCACCCAGGCCCAGAGTTCAGGCCCACAACCGACAACAACAACAACAAAAGAGTCTCATGGGCTTTCCTGTCCGGGCTGGCTTTGAACTGTGATCCTCAGATCTCAGCCTCCTGAGTAGCTAGGATTACAGCCGAGAGCCACCATCACCCGGCTAGAAGAGCTCTTGATTCTGGTACTCATGTGTTTTCACTGGTGCTGGGGATGGAACCCAGGGCCTGGTACATGCTGGACAAGTCATGTCACCGATGCCTGATGCCCACCCCATCCCTCTTATGAAGAGCAGGACTGCCATCTGAGCTGGTGACACAGATTCACGTTTAACAGGAGATGGTCATAAGACACCATTATTTAAAGAGCAGGCACCAAGCTGTATGCACATACGGGTTTTCTTCATAAGCTGGACATGGCCTTTCCCCAAGGTGACCCCCCTGTGTGGGTTTTGTGACTAATTTGTGCCATGCTCCCCTTCCGCCATGCTGGCCTGTTGAACATTCTCGAATCTCGTGAACTGAAACATGGATTACTCAGGTAATAAAAAGTATTCCAGTGGAGAAGTCACCGTACCTGTACAGGAACAAGTCCTTGGCCAGCCATTTGGTCCCCACGATTTTAAAGATAATCTCATAGGTTTCCAGGGCTTTTAAATGTACACCACTGGGTAGGGCAGGGTGCAAACACTGAGCTAATCTCTTGCTGATAATGAGGCGTCTTGGCAACAAGGAATACTTCAGGTTGCTCTGAAGTGCCTGCAGAACAAGGAAAAACATGGGATGAAGGCCGCGGTGTGATCCAGAGCGCAAGCAAACCTCCCAGGTCAGAAGCCCCCTCCCCCGCCATCCCTTCACCCCCCCACCACCACTGGAAGAAAGGGGCGTGCAGGACAAAGACCCAGAGGGCCCAGGCTGGAAAGGAGGCAGGCATCAGTGACTGCTCTTGGCAATACCTTGGAACCCACGCATAGAACATGCACAACATCAGGGCAGAAAAGCTCTTCCTGATAAGAGGTTGGCGTGTGTGCCATGGAAGGCTCCAGATGTTTGCCAGGGAGAAGTCTGACTTATCTCCTCCTTCTCCCAGCCAGGGGGCTCTGAGGAGGGGTCCTTCCTGGATGGTGCAAAGAGGGACCCCGGGACCCCTGTTGGGATGGAACACCAGTATTCCTTGGTGGGCGAGGCTTTATGTGCAGGACAGGACACAGGACACATATGAAAACCCTTTTGGTACTAGCTGGAGCCAAGACCAAGCCAAGGTAACGGAAAGACCAAAGCTGTTCTTGGGCTGCGAACAGCTCAGTAACAGTCCCTGCCCCAGCACCAGGGGGAGGAGGCATCCTCCCATGGCGTTGTGCAATCACTGAGACCACTGTGGCAGGATGCTCCCGATGACTCCGTAACACAGCATTCCCACGTAGGGGGATGCACTCAGGGCATGGGGTAAAAAAGGCCTCCGCAGCCTGGCTCCTGTCTGCCCCATTATTTCAATTCCCCAGCTCCAAACACCGCCACAACACAGAACAATCGGTGTCTTCTGCATGAACGCTCAGCGGCCACCCGTGTGGAGTTAGCGGGCACCTCCCCACTGCAGGGAGGCGGAAGAGCCCCCAGACTGGCCTTTGCACAGCTCGAGGGGCCACGCCTCCTCTGTGCAGCTTGAGGGGTTTATCTTGTGCATCTCTGCTGTCTTCAGCACTTTGCACACTGCCTGAAAGGAAGCAGGCGGTCTGGAACCTTTACTGTGCCAATGCATTCCATCCATGGCTCAGGAGCACTGGTCCAGGACCAAAGACCTACATCTTCTTCTCCTCCTCCTCCTCCTCCTTCTTCCTCTTTTTCCTCTCCCTCCTCCTCCTCCTCCTCCTCTTCTTCTTTTTGTTGGTTGTGGGGCTTGAACTCTGGGCCTGAGCGCTGTCCCCTCAGCCCTTCAGCTCAAGGCGAGTGCTCTACCACTTGAGCCACTTCCGATTTTCTGGTGGGTTACTGAAGATAAGAGTCTCACTTTCCTGCCCGGGCTGGCTTTGAACCATGATCCTTAAATCTCAGCCTCCTGAGTAAGTAGGATTACAGGTGCGAGCCACCAGCACCTGGCCAAGGAATATCTTAAAACGTTATTTATACGGAAACAAAGAGAAAGCCCACAAAATGACTTGAATAATGTACTCACATAAAAAGAGAAACAGGGCTGGGTGCTGGTGGCTCTGTAATCCTAGCTACTGAGGAGACTGAGATCTGAGGATCATAGTTTGAAGCCAGCTTAGGCAGGAAAGTCCCTGAGACTCTTACCTCCAATTAACCAGCAGAAAACCAGAAGTGGCATTGTGGCTCAAAGTGACAGAGCACTTGAATGAAATTTGAACTCAGAGACAGCACCCAGGCCCTGAATTCAAGTCCCACGACCACTCTCCCCACCCCCAAAAAAGAGAGAGAGATGGCGGAGAGGAAGAATGGAGGAGGCCACAAACTGTAGGAGAGGACAAGAAGCAGGTGGGAGGTGCAGCGTGCAGCAGGCGGTATGAAGGGCAGAGGCTGCACACGGTACACAGGAGCAGGCGGAACTGCCAGGCCTATCACCATCACCATCACTGCTTCTGTGTATCAACTGAGTCCTGAAGACTCAGCTTGGAACCCTACTTGCGCCACCCAGGGCTCACTGAGAACATGGTCACATTGCCCCTTCGCCTGTACAAAGCGGGAGCCCATCCCTTCATTCTGCCTTTTGACCGACCCCAGGATGGTAACTTACTTTGGCCATGAGATCAGTGGAACTACCCGAGCCACCTGAAGCTGGCAAGTCCTTTCTCCTGCCTCTAAGACCATGAAATAGAGGTAGAAATGAAATCCTTCCCGACCTGGGGCTCTGAGAAACTGCAGAGCCAGAACTAAAGCACGTTGCAAAGTCACTGAGATTCGGGGCTTGTCTGCTGCCCTGGCATGACCTTCTCCACCTTTACCAATACCTCTTCTGACAGAAATGCAATTACAGCCCGGCGCAGGTGGCTCACACCTGTAATCCTAGCTACTCAGATCTGAGGATCTCAGAAGAAAAGAAAAGAAAAGGAGAGGAGAGGAGAGGAGAAGAGAGGAGAGGAAAGAAAGAAACCCCCTCTGCCTGTGAGCCATCAGTCCTCATGCCCTCAGTCACTAGAAGATCATCTAAAGACACTGGGGGGGAGGGGAGGCTAGTGCTTCTCCAAGGGGAGATTAAGTCTGCCAGTACTCAACACTGTGGGGACACAATGGTTCCGCCAGTGTGGTGACACCTCCAAAGACTAAGCACATCCGATTAGCATACAACTCAGCAACCCCACTTGGGGGGGGGGCGGGAGAAGGACTCGTTCTCATGCTCACCACAGCACCATTCACAATCCGCCCCACGTAGAAACCACCCAGGTGTCCAAAAATGAATGAATGTACCAACATGGTACCAACACACAGTGGAATGGTATTCAGCCTTAAAGAGAAAGGCAGTTCTGACACATGCTAACAGGGTACACCCTGAGGACACTGTCAGTCACAACAGACATTGTATGGCTCCTCTTATTTTTTTTTTTTTGGGTCCGGTAGTGGGGCCTGAACTCTGGGCCTGGGCGCTGTCCCTCAGCTCTTCAGCTCAAGGCTAGTGCTCTACCACTTGAGCCACAGCGCCACCTCCGGCTTTTTTTCTTTTTTGCTTATGTGGTGCTGAGGAATTGAACCCAGGGCCTCAGGCATGCAAGGCAAGCACTCTACCACTGAGCCACCTTCCCAGCCCAGTATGGCTCCTCTTATATGAGCGTCCCCTGTGACAAGCTAGTGACAAGCCAGCTTCTCTTCTCAGGCCTTCCCTCCTGCCCTCCCTCCTCCCAGAGAGCTGCCAAGGCTGGCATCCGGGTAGGTAGGCCACCAGCATCTGTCTTTCCCTTTCCAGCCTCCAGTCAAGAAGTTTGATCAAAAAATCAGCAAATACGTCTCAGGCAGATCCATGTGTGGGCGTGGCTTTTCAGGAAACAGAAACCCAAACTGGCTGGCTCATGAGCTTAGCTATTTATAGTTTAGGGGATATTCTAAATATTCTAAAGCAAAGGACAAATCTCTCAGAGAAGCAGGTGAACTGAGAGAGACAAATGGCCACGTTTTCAACATGCCATATGGGAAAGAAAACACTGGGGTTAGCAGGAAATTAAACTTCCTATCATTTCACTCGGGGACTGTACTAATCTAAAAGCATTCCCCGAGCTATCATTGAGATAAGGACAGTATTTGTGACCACATTACAGTCACAGGCTCATAGGCTGACCTTAAAATAGTAGGGGCTAAAAGAGTAGGTCAGTGGTATGTATGTGCTTATCAGCACGCACTAGGCCCTGGGCTGGATCCCCAGCAATAATCAGTAAATAAATAAGCAAGTAAATCAATCAATAAATGAAGAAGATATAATTATAAAATATAAGTTTGAAAAAAATTAAACTAGAAGCCAAGAAAGTTTGGTTCCAAGGAAACATCTCTGCCATGTTTTCCTTCGACATTATACAAACTGACAGGATGATATTCTCCAGAACACAAACTGATTTAGAAAGGCAGACCACGAACTCGAGTAATTTAATATGCATAAAAATGTTCAAAGTGATAAATTTTAGGCTTCGTGTTTTACCACTGAGTAAAAATGTTCTAAGCAAAGATAATGTAACAATATGAGAGGGAAGGGTGAGAAGTTGTGGTTTGTTTTTAAATAAACGTGGCAAAATATTTCCTTGAAAAGTTCCCAGAAGGGACAGTGCTAACCTGCCTTCGCAGACCTCCAGATGCTGTCTACAGGGAACTGTAGGCAAGCCAACCTCAATCACACCTTTCAACCAGCAAATAAGGAACATGTACCATCCCGACAGAGCCAGCATGGCTTCCTTCTGTAAGTCTGTCATCCATTAAGGATGCTCATTTGGTGTTATAATGAAACTGTAAGATATTTCAGTGAGTCATACTGGTCAGGCGGCAGGCACAAAGTTCAACACCCAAGTGACCTCCTTACTAAGGGACACCAACTGTGCCCTTTAGACAGAATCAGAGAGAAGACACTGAGAAAGAACAAACTGGCCAGGACTTAGCACAGTTCTGATGGCGGTAAGCATCAGGCCTTACCTGACTTGGGGGCTGGGAAGTGGCGTCAAGAGGCAAGGTAGAGAAAGGGCACACTGGCCAGGCCTCTGGGAGGATTGCAGGCCTTGGTCCCATAGGTGGCCTTTGTTTAACTGTCACAATTCTACACAAACAGGAAGCTGCCTTCTGAATAAGGTCATCAGCTGACATAGCGCCACCTGCAGGCAGAGGGCTCTGCACCCTCCCTGAGCCATGCCCCGATGGTCAGCAGCAGTGTCTGCAGTGGGCTTCAGTCACCAACCCTATCCCTGCTGGGCTGCATAGCAGAAAAGCTGCGGACACGTGGGTTAGACCATGTGTGGACTTAGAGACACACATTTGGAAATGTTCTTCAAACTGCCTTCTCACGTTAAGCCAGCTGTCCTCTTGTTCTCTTACACAGGCTTGCTCTAACTGAGCTGACTTCTGTTCTCCTGGCCTGCCCTGCTGCTGGGGTGGGGTATACAAAGGCAGAGGGTGTGGTCAGCCACCAGTATACTGGCTGCGCCGCTGGCACTCACAGCCTCACTGTTTACCCAGAGTTGGCTCTGTCTGTCTGTCTGGGAGGGAATGTTCTAGCCCATCTCTCCTGGGAAGAGCCCAGAAAGCCAGCGGAGGGGAAGTAAAGAAGGGCACAC